TACTTTGGTCATGTAATGAGAAAGAAGAACTCACTGGAGAAGAGCCTAATGTTGGGAATGATTGAGGGCCAAAGAAGAAGGGGACGACAGAGAATGAGCTGGCTGGCTGGAGTCACTGAAGCAGTAGGCGTGAGCTTAAATGGACTCTGGGGGATAATAGAGGACAGGAAGGCCTGGAGGAACATAGTCCATAGGTTCGCAATGGGTCAGAAATGACTTCGTGACTAACAACAAACAAACAAACAAACAAACAAACAAATAAAGGATGCAGTTTAGTAAAAACTTTCTTCCTTCCCTATTTTGTCTGGTAGAAGTTCTGTGCTTTTCAAAACATAAAATAAGGGAGAGGGGAGAGGCTATTTTGACCCTGTATTTATTTTGTTGTGTTTTAAAAACCAACACTAAGGTTCTGCTTAGCCTTAGCTCAAGATACAGCTCGCCTGTCTCTTAAAATTATTTTTCCAGTTTCCTGCAGTTTCATTCTTGCATTGGCTGGCACCAACCTTCTCCCTTATCACTTAGAACTGAGAGCAATCCATTGAATCTGAATTGAAGAGTTAAATAGATAAAAGGAACTATATCTATATATAGCATAAAATCAAGCTGTAAAATCTATCGCTCCAAGGAGTGGAGTTTTCTGTCAGTTTAGTTGTCTTTCAAAGGAGATTAGACAAAATTCTATCATGGGCTAGTATGATAGAAGCATGAATGTGGTCTACTTCTATATATTGATTACAGGAAATAACAATTCCTTGGACAACTGACTTGATTTCCTTGATGCCCTCAAGAGATATTAGATATGTCTAGGGTAATGTAGGGCAATATAGATCTTTGCAGAGGGAGTTTGCTTTTGATAAAGGTTTAATTGGAGCAACACAATCCCCTCTCTCCTAAACTTTACATTAGACTGGTTTTGCTACCAACTGCTTGGTATGGCTGTGGAAAGTTCTGATGATGTTCTTCAGAGGAGAACAGGATATTCCATGGGTAATTGGAGGTAGTCATGGATCTGAAGCCATTCACTGATTTGACACAGCCTTGAATAAGACCCACAAATTACAGTACATCTTACAGTAGATTCATCAGATTATACTATAGACATAGTGATTTAGAAACATGCATAAACATGATTGGAAGAAATGCATTGGATCTCATATCAGCATGCAAACTTTCTGCTATTAATTAAACCACATCTATCCTTTATTCAGGCTTCCATATAAGTCTTAAAAAAGAACTCCTACTTCATTGTAAGTTATATTTAAAATGCGATGGTTTAATGATTCTCACTAAAGACCATGGGGAGTGGGGGATAGACATGGGTAACTTAATGAATAGCAGTGCTTGCATCTCTATTTAAAATACTTTATAATTCTCTTTGAACTGTGCAAAGTCATAACAAGGTTTCACTGGTTTCAGCAAGTAAAATATATAATAAAAAATAATGCTGATCCTTCCTGTAATGTCAGGGTTCCAAATAGCATCTGAAAGTAAATAAGAGTCTGGGGTAAAAGATTTTTCAAAGGTCCAATTTATTAAGAGAGCCTTGTTGGCACATGTGGGAAAACCTAAACCTGAAAGCTTCCCAGTTTCCCCACCCAGTTGAAAGTTCAAGATCTTGCCCCACAATCACAAGTCTATCACATAGTCCAATCTTCCATTGCCATGCTGGCAGTTCCACCCATCCAATTCTGGTCAGGTGAAGAGGTGCAGAGACAAAGGATGACCTTGGCTTTCTAGAAAGAATTTTGTTATGGCTACCTATCTTCCAACTCCGTATAATCCCCTCTCCCAAGTTTTGTGCACTCATCTGTTGCTTGTGCAGCCTGGTCCCAATGGGCCACAGACAAGTTCTTGTCTGTCAACCAGGGGTTGGAGATTCTTGCTTTAAAGCAANTACTCTACTCTACTCTACTCTACTCTACTCTACTCTATTCCATCCTATTCCATCCTATTCCATCCTATTCCATCCTATTCCATCCTATTCTATTCTATTCTATTCATGGTTTGACCCAAACCTTTGACCTTCACTTTGGTTGCTGCTGCTAGGCCGCACGATACTGCAGGTGTCACGTTCTTTACTATTTCCTCCTTGAAAGCTGCGTACCCAAGGAGGATCTGCTTTGCAAAACAGATGGCACGATCCTCCCTTCTTTCTTTCATCCTTTCCTTTTAAAAAAATCCTCCATCAGCTCCAATGCTTCATCAGACGTGCAGTTCGGGATAATTTTCATTCTGGCTGCCTTGCCATTATTTATATATTTATCATTGGCAGAACATGCCAGTGAGGGATGAAAAAGAAAAAAAAAATGTCAAAGAACAAATTAAAATGGAAGACAAAAGTTAACCGTGAAGGAAAAAAAAAGAAAAGAAAAGAAAGAGACTGGATTAAAAACCTGAGCTAGAAATGTGCTGACTGTATTTTGCCAAGAATGGCATTTTGGACACTGATTAATTCTAGTTTTCAAAGGAAACCCTGGGAATTGTCTATACCCAGGATGGGGCAGAGGTGGGTTGCTACATGTTTACACTGGTTTGGGGAAAACCGATAGTGGAAATTGCGACTAGGTTGCTGAACCAGTAGGGACAGCAGGCTGGGCACACCCCCAAACTGGTTCCCCGTCATCCATGACATTGTTGGCATGGTTTTTTAGTCATTTTTAATGTTTTGTGCATGCACAGAACAATGTACAGGAAACCGTGCATGCACAAGCAATGTGCGGCTGGCATGCATGGGAAAATGAACTGGCTGTAATATTGGCAGCAACCCACCCCTGGGCAGAAGTGAGTCCATTCTTGTTCTTCAGTCACTGTTGTGGCCCAGCAGGAGCCATTGGAGCTGCCACTAGACTCCAACAACGAGAGGCCCTATGACTCGGCTCTGGAGGATGTGGAGGACCCTGGACAGGGTTCCGACTCTGAGCAGGGCGCAGAGAGGCTGGTTGGCCACCAGGAGGCGCCTGAGCCTTGGACCAGTGGGGAGGAGACAAGTTAGTGTAATTGTGACGTCATGCATTGGAGCAGTGGGGAGGAGACAAGTTAGTGTGATTGTGACATCATGCATTGGAGCAGTGGGGAGGAGACAAGTGAGTGTGATCCTGACATCATGCATTGGAGCAGTGGGGAGGAGACA